GGTTGCTCTGGTTTTTATGGTGGGTGTCAAGTTTTCACAGTTTTGGAAATAATTTGAACTTTACCTTTTGTTTCACTCTTATGCTCTACTTTATGTTGGTTTGTCATTGAAAACTTAAATAAAATATATGGAGGTTCCTGTTTACAAAATCAAAAATGTGACATGGTTCAGTACTTTTTAATGTCACTGTAATATATACATATATATAAAAAAGTCCTTCACATGCAAGTGGGGCCTCATTTTTCTTCTTTTCTCATATTACGATATAATTTCTGAAACCATAAAACTCTGAAAATTTTATATAATAAAAACGACACGCGTGATTTACGGATGATCCGTAAAAACACTGAAATATTTCTGCTAGACTCATCCTGGAAGGTGTTCATCATCATCATGTCTCTCCTCCAAGTCTAACCTCCGCAGAGCAGAATGACTGATGGGAAACGAGACACCCTCAGGACGAGCTGTGTTAGTTAACGCATTCTTTTTTTCCCCTTCCCAAAGCTGCAGGTCGCCGTGGCTCACAGTTTTAAATCCAACAGGGAAGTGTTTTATCACTTTTTAAAGTTAACTCTGTTTGGATCCTTTTACAGTGAATTGCTGTGTTTTAGGGTAACTCAGAATAAACGGCAACAGTCTTTGCATGTTTGAGCTCGACTTATAAAAACTTATAAAAAATATATTTAAAAAAAATAAACTCTTAAAACAAAAAACACAAGATTTATTTCTTTCTGAAATAAAAATATAATGGAAACGGATGTATTCTCTTCCATCAGATCATAATGATGAGTCCCTTCATGGAAACTGGGGCTTGCAGCTCGCTGCAGATAATATAAATATTCTAGTTATAAAGTAGAAACTATAGAGAAATGCTATCTAATATAATTAATAATCAATTAAACACTGCACATGCCAATACTTTGTCCTTAAGTTTTAATTTTTGAGCCATACATGTCACTGATTTTGATTTTGTGGATTAGCCTGGCTCTGGTTTTATTTTTAATGCTATTCAGATTTCACCACGCCTTCTAAACACAAAAAATTATCAAAGAAAAAGCAGAAGTTCAAATGATCATTTTCCATAAGAGGTCACAGCGTTTTGAAATGGAGCAACATTCTTGCCTAAGTGACTTGACAGCCTTGCGTTCATACTCTGCCATGAAGCTAATCAGAGACAAAACAAACACCATGAAAACACAATGTTGAAGTTTTTATGAGTCACATGCTCATTGTAGATGAAAACAAAGGCGTGCAACTGTGCACTACCCGAAGTTTAAAGCCTCTATTGTTGTCGCCTAATTGCTCCCTCTGTGTTTTTCAGGAAGCCTTATCAGAAGGAGAAGGAGAAAAAAAACCTGAATGAGGACCTCGGACTGTTTGCGGCCCATGCAGCTGGGCAGAATGAAGCAATTCCCATTATTACACTGAGAGTTATTGCTCCCCTCCTATAAGACCCCCATCCAGTTCGGGCCAGGCTTACTATTTCTGGCAATGTTTACCTCAGGAAGGAACTTTCGCAGATTTAATGGGACCTGGGCCATTGTACACAGACTTCTGTATGGCACACTGCCATCATTTCCACAGAGAGCAGAGAGAAATGAAGAGAGGGCTACGTCTAAAGTCAATTCAAAACATGATTGTCCCGTTTATGTGACCCTGAGCACATCACCTCTATGAGACCATGAACTCTCTCAGAGGTTCAGTGAAGACAGTTTTCACTTAAACTAAAGCAAATTCAAAATGTCAAACAACAACTATCTTATCTGGTTTATGTCTGATGATATGCTTACTCAATACAGGAAGACCTTTTAGCAGTCATATCTTTTTACACTTGTTGCACATTTTTAACACCCTCATATCAATGTCCAATAAATATAAATTCTGTGTTTTGATTAATTAAAGTTGATCGGTTTAGGTTGCCTGGGAGTACAAATATTAATTATGAGTAAACTAGTGAACAAGGTCTTCTTGTGGCACAGAAAATGTTCCATCAACATTATGTAAAAAGCATTAATGAGTGTTTGAAGGCTGTGACTGTACAACCAGCTCCCCCCAGTGCCTAAAATCTCATTTCTGCAAATGTGGACCTCATTTATTTTTTCACCTTAAACAAATCTGCTTAGATTTGATTATCGTCTGTTTTTAGAAAATATGCATCCACTGCAGACAATGACTTTCTGTTAAATACTTTATACTAAAACAAAAATTGTCTTAGCATTGCAAATATAAATTTAGCTGACAATGCTGTATATGAAAAAAAGTGTATTTGTCGAACAAGTAAAAATTATTTTTGTCTTATGGAATAAACTGAAAGAAATGATTAACACATATTATGTCTCCTATATTTGTGCACTTGAAATGAATAGTTTTAAAAATGTGATATGTTCTCACAGGTTCAAAAGTCAGTTTTCAACCTAAAAAATATTTAACTGAAATTATTCATTTAAAAATGTTTTATGTATTCTTATAATTAGAATATTTAACTGACATTTAAAATATAGCACTTTTTATTATTGTAAAAATTTTCATAAATAAAACAAAAGTAAAACGTGGAGTTAAGCCTTTTCTCTACATTTCAGAAGTTTTATGCGCTAACAAAATGTTTGCGCCATTATTTTTGCGTGAATTTAGCGTAAAAATAATAATTTGAAAGCTCGGAGAAAAAGTCATTTTTAATCTCGTACGATAAAAAAAAAAAAAAAACACTCTCTCTTGGAATAATGCTATTACCAATAGCTGACAACATGGTTATTAGATCAGCTTTTTACATTCATGAAAACAATAGATTAATGTGCAGTAAATAAAGAACATCTTGAAATGGATTCAGAATGAGGGAGGGACAGGGACAACCCTCCCCCCCCTCTCCATCACTCTCAGCTCGGTCCAATTGAAACTATGAAGTGGTCATTAACTGGACATTGGAGTGGTAGACCAACCACACTCACCTCAGCCCACCCTCAGTTGTAAACAACTTGAGGACGGTTTGCTTTAATGGGAGCTTTTAAATGTAATAGTGACTTGGAGACGTGCGGAGATCCGTGTGTTTACGTTACAGATTAGTCGCTTCTTGCGGGTCTGCAGCCGCGCACTGCGGACGCACACACGGTTAATGCGCAACAAGTGTAAGCTGTTCCCATATACATAAAAACTAATTGGAGTCATATCAAACTTCCATTATAAGCAGGTCTTAGCTCGGATAATTTTATTCCAATAACAATAACAAAATCAAATTATGCGTTAAAAAACATAAAAAATTAATATCTGGTGATATTTTTTTATTATCATTTTTTGTGAACTGCAAATAAATGGATTTGAAACCCTCAAACGCCATTTTTAATTATGGAATTAAATATCTATCTATCTATCTATCTATCTATCTATCTATCTATCTATCTATCTATCTATCTATCTATCTATCTATCTATCTATCTATCTATCTATCTATCTATCTATCTATCTATCTATCTATCTATCTATCTATCTATCTATCTATCTATCTATCTATCTATCTATCTATCTATCTATCTATCTATCTATCTATCTATCTCAGGGGACAGTCCACTTTGTCCTATGGGACAAATTTGTCCCGCCAATAGCTACTGGAAACGGTTTCCCCCTCTCTGTCCCTGGAGGGTCGTTTGTGCTGTTTTGTCCATCTTTTATATCTGTTATTTTATTTATATGTGAGAGGCTGCGGGTCCAGATCCAGCTGCTGTCAACAGCAGAGCTGAGGACATTTCATGTTTTTGGGCAAATACAGGACAGTTTGCTCTCACTATATGTTCCTTTTTAATTAAAATGTTTGTGCACAAGGCACGTCTCTGTATTAGTTGAAGTTGTTAAAGTTTAGCGAGTATTTTACGTAGATGCCATTTTAAGCACTATGTAAACGTCACTGCGCAGCGCTTATAATGCAATTTCTGTTTTTTTAATTTCTTGCGGACATTAAGGAACAAATCAAGGACTAGATTTTCTTTTTTAGTGGAACACCGCCACCCAGTGGCTATAACAGACATTGCAAAGACTTTAACGGGCTTGAATTATTTCATGTGGGGAATTCTATTGCCATACTTTAAAAGCAAAGTAGTGGGGCTTTTGAGCTTGATTTAGTTTATTCGGTGGAGGTTTTTGAGCTTAGTTGAACTCAGATAAACCTGCTTGGATTGATTAGTGCAATCCAAGCAGGTGCTGCAGGTGTTTGTGAGAAACACCTGCAGCAGATGCTTTTCTCTCTCTCCCACACATGTTCAAAGATCAAACAAACATGTAGAAAAATGTTCCAACATATGCAAAACTCTGTATCTTTTCAGTTACTTGAAGTCAGGTGACAGCTCAGTAATATGTGGTGTCAACGTTATGTCAGCATACAGACTACAAAAACAGGCTTAGCAGATGAAAACATGGTGTGTGGCATTTTGAGCGGGAGCTCCTTTGTAATGCACCAAATTTAAACCAATCAGTGTGTGCGTGTGTGTGTGTGTGTGTGTGTGTGTGTGTGTGTGTGTGTGTGTGTGTGGTCAGTTAACACATGCTCCTCTGTCTTGCTCACTTAAATCCAGCATGGTTTCACATACAGTTCTCTGGGGATCTCTGGTTTTGACCTTTGATCTCCACTAAAGCATGAAAAGGATCTTTGGAGGTTGATTAGCTTAAGAAAGTGACATTAGAGCCAAGGGTTCCCCTTTTTTCAATATTCAGTATGATAAAATTAACTATTGTAGTTTGCAAAACCTGAAACCATAAACCTGAAACTTTACCACATTGTGTCACATTGTATTCATAAATATAAGTTATGATTACACAGAACATAATAGTGAAATTGAAAAATATGGTTTTCAATTTTGAAAAATAGCTTTATAATAGATATGTGTTTTTGTATTCAACTTCTTGAGTTTAAACTTTGAAGAACCGCCTGTCTCTTCAAATACAGCTGAGACTTTGTCCAATTAAAGCAATGTACATATCAATGTAATGCAAAGAATAAACATCACAGCTGAATGTCTTCTTAAGATACATGTTTATTATTCAGCATATTCAAAAGTCTTTACAGCTAAATTGATAAAGCATTCAATTTAAAAATTCTAGAAACTAAAAGGCACTATTTCTTTACTTGTGAAATGTAAGTGTGGAATTTGTATACATTTTATTCTAGAAAATCTTCAATTTTAACACATGTGCATTTGAGTAAAAGTTCCCTTTTCTATTCATTATACAGTCAACAGGACACTCATAAAGCTCTAAAAAATAAAACATGTCAGTTTTCAATCATATCCACATTGTTAATTTTAGGAATCATCCCAACTGGGATTTTTTAAAAAAAGTTGGCAATACCTTTTCGAAATACCTGTAGTGGCATCTACAAGGAAGCACAATGACTGCCCATATGCAACCAGAAAACTTGGCACAACAAATGAAATTTACTTGTTTCAGACTCGACACATGTTGAGACGTCTTAAAAAAAGAAAAAAAATAAATTTTCCCACAAAAACTCCAGTATTTTTGCTCTAAATAAAATGCTCAAGCTTCTTTTCTAAAAATAAGAGCAAAAATGATTAGAAAAAAAAAAACTACATAAAACATTTTTTTGGCTTCTTTAAGAATGCCTAACAAACTGAAAGTTCCTCTTACACAAACACTCCCTTTAAAACATTGTGATGTACAAGCTTCTTCCATGTCTAGCTTGTAATTGTCTAACAAATTATTCACCTTGCAGAATTATTAATGTCATCAACTTCACTTTCAAGTATGGGGAATAAGTGATCTAGCTGAGATTTTGCCTATGTAATCTCAGTCTGCCAATATAAACTTTGAAACCAGGACATCTTAAATAAAACTCAGATTAAAAGATTAAAGATTGCCAATGAGTCATCAGCATATTAACCCAGACAACACAAAATGAACCTTTTTTGCCCTTTCAAACATAAACCCTGTAGAAAACCCATTATAACTGTGTGAAACAGGAGACAAGGGAATTGTACAACTTTACAGTAGGAAGACTGATAAGTGTGCCTGCAGTGGCTTTGTTTTTGGGTTTTTTTCTGAATGAATGCATGAAGTCAAATTGATTCACCTTCAAGAAAGTGTCAGTAGATTTATTAAGTATTCTGCAAGACAAGAAAGTTTTTTTCCCCCCCAAAATGTTTATTACTTTTAAAAATAGTTTTACATAACAGCATTTTACGAGGCATGAACAGAAAATGTGAAAACGTCTGACAGCATTATAAGAGCTGCAGTTTGTGGAATTGTTTTCGCAGTGTTTCAGCTCAGTTTATGTGTCTTCACTGGCTGGCACCCTTCCTTCATTCAACAGTCTCTCTCTTTCTGCATCGCTGTCTTCATCCAAGTTCATCCTGTTGGCACACCACGGTATCCTGGCCAGCAGGGGGCGGTGCAGTCCATTGTAGAGCGCAGTGCCTGTCAGCAGGACCAAAAATCCCAGAACCTGCAGGCCGTGAAACTGCTCCCAACCCAGCGCCAGGCTCACCACCCAGATGACCAGCGTACGCAGGCTGTCCAGCACCATTCGGGTGGTGGCGCTTATCTCCTTTGTGACGCTGATCCCGGCGAAGTTGAAGAAGGCGATGCTGACCGTGTTACCCAGGAGAGCCAAGAGGATGAGGGGCTTATATCCAATCTGACAGAAGGCATCCAGCGCGTCCTCCAGGACCTGCCGAGGATTGTCGCTGAAGTCCCCAACGTGGATGAAGTACATGGGGATGAGCAGCAGGGAAAGGACGACAAAACCAAACAAACCTAAAGAGACACACATTTAATCAACCAGCTGTTTAAGTGAAATCAAACTAATCTCAGCTAAAATACAAAAGTTTGTGACTCGAGTGGTTCATACCAAAGTAACTTGCTACAACTTCTGAGATTTTAACATTTACAGAATGTACAAAATTGAAAGAATAAATAAATTTGTAATTTATATTGTTGAATCTTTTCTGGCCTCTTACCAGTTTTTTTTCTGTTTTTACCTCTATCAGCTTTTCTATCCTTGCTGGGCCTGGCACTACAATCACCTTCCAGGGGTTGTAGCCCAGGGCACCAATTTTGACAGAAGTGCATTTTTGCAGCAGGCCTACTGATAGCTCAAACAAGACCTTGAAGGTACATTTGTGCTCAGTTTCTCAGCTCCAAGATGATTATATTATGGCAAACAGAGGCTACATGAAATTTCATAAAGCTTACAAAGTGCCATCAGGCAAACTAATACATCAAGTACCATAACTGTTCAGACTCAGTCAATACTCAGCATCCAAATAACAAATTTTAAAGAGTTTTCTTTTAGGCATTATGCCACATTGTCAGAGATGACTTGGTAAACCAGTTGAGATGTTATTTGGTATTCACATCACTGTCCAAAGTGCCACATAAGTGAACTTTTTTTTAAAAATTATCACTTTTGTTGTCATAGCTTTTTTTAAAAACTTGTTTACCTTCAGTTCCAACAGCTCGAAGAGGATGCACATCATGCTTGTAGACAAACTTTTCCTCCAGCACCATCTGCACCGAAACTATGATCTGAGCCATGATGATCAGGAGATCACCTGCAGAGCAGAAAGTGACTTCAACTTTATTTTAAATCCAATTAAAAACAATGCGTCTTTATGGATTTAAGAAAAAGTTTTACCCGTGATGACATCAGTGAGCTTGTGGGAGTCATCTCTGTGGCCACTAACAAAGTCGGCGAGTCCGACTACCACCAAGCCGAGGATGGTGACAAAGATGCCGAGCCACTGACTGGGTGCGAGCCGACGACCCAGAAAAGCTACAGACAGGAGACCGGTGAAGATGATGACGGCTCCACGAAGCATCTGGAAACTGGAGGCGCTCGTCATGTTCAGCGCTAGAGAAAAAAAAAAAAAAAAAAAAAAAAGTTATGCAAACAAGACTGTACAAGTTAATGAATGCAGATAAACTGCAAAAAAGTTATTTTAGCCAATTAATGTAGAAATCAATTATTGATTCTAAACATCTAATTGAAATTGTACATTTCCAATCATTCTTCTTGACTGAATCAGCAAACAAACCAGTTCTGTTGAACTTACCAACATACATGATGGACGTGGCTGTCATGTCACACATCGCAGGAGGGAAGAAGAGTAGAGGGTTGAAGCTCTGGCCGACGTTCATTCTTGGCTCTGGGCTGCGTCTGTCATGGAACAGCAAGATGTAGAAGACGGCGAGACAGCTGAACTCGCCCAGAAACATTCCCACAGCCTGGAAAGAGAGAAAGACAGATTCACCAGTGATTTAATTTACTCAGCAACTGTAACATGCACCATGTGGTTTTTAGGGACAAAAAAGACTGGGACATTTGAGTCCCAGTCTTATCCTTCCTTTCTGTTAATTAAACCAGTGACATGAGCATGCTCAAAATCTCAACTGTAGTGCATGTTAAAATGCATTCAGATGCTGACACTGCAGCATCTGAAACATCAGTGAATCTACTAGTGATGTTTCAGATGCTGCAGTGTCAGTTTTTTGTGACTGACATTTTGCCCTAAAAGGAGTTTCTACAGGAGCACATTGTGTTTTTAAAGTTATATACATTTCTGCAGATGGAGCTATGATCTTTTGTATATTTAAATCTTCTGCTTACAACATTTCTCTACACAGCAGTTTACTGAAGTGCTGGCCAATGCTAGCAATTTTCCACTCCATTTTGATAAGACTTGTTGATATTTAACATATTTCTTTGTGGTTCCCAGGTATTCCTTTGTGATAACATTTTAAAGAAATTGTTCTACCTCAAAAAATTACTTGATGGGGTTAGACTAGTCAATACAGTCTCGCTTTTACTGTGAACAAAATTGCATAACGTGGGAAAGACCTGCACCGATTCCTCAGTGCAGAATAAAAGTACAATAAGTTAAATACTTCAAATAGACAACCAGTTTATACATTATATGTGCCCATTTCTATGAACAAAAATTTAAATAATCTGATACAAAGTATCATTTAAATCATTACTGTACCTGTACAAATGGATGGGAAAAGGTGTGTTCAGGGTTACCATGGCAACCCTTTGCTGAGAACATGTCAGCCCATCTGTCAGAAAAAAAACAAACAAAAAAACTGCATCATGTAGATTCATTATTGACACATGAGTAACCAGTGAAGTATGACAGCGGTGAATATTTGACTTAGAGATGTCAGGAAGCAAATACAGTTTTAAAAAATAAAAATGTCTGCCATATAAGCATGACTACAATATCTACAATAATCTTCTGTTGGACAGTGTCACTTTGCTTTTTTTTTTTTTTACATTTGTTTCCACTTAAAACAACATGCAAACAGCAGCAGAATGACTGAGCTGCTACCTTTGCTGCCAGGAAGCAGCTCTGCAACAGGTAAGCTATTATGTAACTGTAGTGAAATCTAGCCTGCAAGTAGCAGAGATCCCCTCTGAGCAACATGTCAGTGCAGGGATTTTTTGTTAGAAGTAGGTATTGTTTTTCAATGGAACACGATACGAGGAAATGGAAGCAAGAGACAGGAAGGATAACGCTGACATCACAAAATATTGGAGAAGTTAAAAGTCAAATGTTGGGTTTCACCAATGTGATGCACTTTCTGTAGGCTTCTGTAAGACGAGTCAATATTTAAAGAGAATTGTTGATCAAATGTACTTCACTTTCAGGCTTACTCAAAAAAAACCTGATCATTCTATGATTTTAGATTTCCCTTCTATCTGAAAAAACACATGTCTGTCACATTTGAAACTTTACACTGACTTTTCTAATCAAGAGTTCCTTCAGCCTCTGATTTCAGTTTTATGTCCAATCAGTAACAATCAAAGCACATCTGAAGGCATTCAATAAGTTTCAGTAGAATATTTCATAGTTGTTTGAATAAATAGGAATTTATAATTTTTGCCTCACTTTTAATTTTTCTTTTAGTGCAAAATGTATTCTTGCTACATAAATCTGACAAAATAGCAATTAAATATTCTTTATTTTCTACTCTGGTTATTGCAAGCAATTTCTGATTGGATGTCAAACTGATTAAATAGGTAAAAAAAAAGCACACTTGTCATCAATTAAAAAGCAGAACACAAAACACTACCAAAAGGAATTTTTGAAGATAGTAAATATTAGTCATTAAAATTATTAAACTTTAGCTGGATTAGTTTACAAATGTAATTTTCAACAATCTTAACTTAAGAAAAATAAAATGCATTTATATAAATGAATAAAGACCTGTAAAATTGGTATAATTCCTACTCAAAAGTAACACTTCGCGAAACAAGACAAATGCAAATTCTAGCAGTTTTATTGCTGGATATTATGCCTGATACTGAACTTTTTACGACCAAATGACAGCAAGTCATGCGTTGATCTCAGTGCACCATGTAGTTAGCAAAAGCAGGCTGTTCGTTTAAAGATGCATCTCATCGCGCTTCATTCAGCGCAGGTGCTGCTGATTTAGACGTCTGATTGGTGGCAAACCAACTGGGTCGTTTGCTTCTCATTAGAGTCAGTTTCCTGTCAACATCTTATCAACGGGAACATCAGCGTCAATATTTCACCGATTGTACACAAGCTTCTTAACAGACAACGTTGTTTGGGACCTAGCTTGAGAAGAAAAAAATGTTTTGCCATTTGACGCTAACAGCTAACAGCTAGCTCGAGCTGTGTTGTTTAAAACAAACTGAAACACGACTTAACGTAAGAAACAGGTGGTAACGACTAATTCACAAAGATGAAAAGAAAATAAGCATTGAATTTATTACGTTATTCAAGTATACTGCAATCAACTCACCATAAGCACACAACACCATTTTGAAATAAATCAAACAAAGTTACATTTACTCACTTTGCGGATAAGGTGTTGATGGAGCCAGTTGTGAGCATCAGCCCCGCCAGGAACAGCTGATATTTTGTCCAAGCCATGTTAGAGGATGGAAACGAACCTGTGACACAGCAACCACCGAGCTGTGAGCTCCCTTTAAAGGCAGCCCGGTTGTCTATTCATGCACTTTCCGCATACTCTCTGCTGTTTATGAACACCACGTGACAGCTCATAGTCAGCTGACCTAATTGCGTGCTGCCTTCACGGACGTCCGGAAATGACGGACAGCAGAAGCTCTTTTGAAGTGACTGACAACTGCAATTCTGATTAAACCAAATGTATTTTTTTATTTATTTTTGCTTATATTTCACTGCCAAATACTACAATTGAACAAAATAACTGCAAAGGTATTCATACCTGTCACACAATTTCACATTTTGTGGTTTAATATGTTCCACATGTGTTGAAGATGACAGAAAATGATTTAATATTCATCTTATTTTCTTTTTACAAATCAAAATCAGAAATATTTAGATGAGATTTATCCCTCCATTTAGAAGATGCACATTTAGAAGATGAAATGTTTGTCAGCTACCAGCTTCTTTCACATGTTTCATGGCCTGTGGAAAACTACAAATTAATCCTTTTAAGGCAGGGATGGGCAATCCTGCTCCTTGAGGGCCGGTGTCCTACAACTCTTAGATGTCTCCCTGGTCCAACACAGCTGAATCATATAGCTGAATCACCTTCTAACTGCAGTCAAGTTCTCCAGAGTTCTGCTAATGACCTCATTATTTGACTCAGGTGTGTTGAAGTAGAAACACATCTAAAAGTTGAAGAACACCAGCCCTTGAGGCCTGGAATTTCCCACCCCTGTTTCAAGAACAGTTTTTTTTTTTTTTTTTTTTTTTTGCCATTCTTTCATACAAGTCCAATTTGATTCTCACCTGAGTTGTGGACTTCTGCAGCTCCTCAAGAGTTACCCCAGCCCTTTTGGTAACTTCTTTTAAGATCTCATTACCCAGGATTTCAGATTAAATAGCCATACCCCTGGTTGGTTTACATGTTTTAGTTTCAGTTATCTTATCTGCTCCTGTTACTGAAATTAATTATTTGAAGTCTTTTCTTAGACCAGAACCCAGTTGCTCCATCATCATCATCATCATCATCATCATCATCATCATCATCATCATCATCATCATCATCATCATCATCATCATCATATTATTATTATTATTATTATTATTATTATTATTATTATTATTATTATTATTATTATTATTATTATTATCGTCACAGTTCTGATTACAGACACTCACGTGGTTAAGTTTCCTTGACATTTATTATACCAGAAATTAAGGAAAATAAATAAATAAAGACCTGAAACATGCCAGGACCTGACATGCTTCAGTTAAAGCCCTTGGGCCATGACTCTTTGGGTAGACACCTATTATTAACCCATAACTTCAGTAAAAACTTTCTCACAACTGCTTTTTAATTAAGTTTAAACTGTAAAAGTAATAAATACAGAACATTGTTCCAATTCCTTATGAATTTACGAACTGATGACTGATGTTTGCCATCTAAAACAATAACAAACTTTAACAGAAATCTACAGATTTTACAGACATGTTTTATGTTCCTCTCAGTTGTTTGGTGAGCTATTGGGCATCCTGTTTCTGAGGCAGATAAAATTAAATAATAAGAAAAAGCGGAACGACGGTCTGCTTCATTCTGCTGCTAGCCATTTTCAGGCAGTGTTAGCCTAAAAATTTGATATTTTCCACAATTGTTAAGTTAAGTAATTGCCACTAAAACCTTAATCACTAATTTGAGTTTACTTCATTTATTCTATAAAATTTGAATAATTACAAATTAATAAATTTGCATTTGATGAAAAATTAAACATGATTGGCTTTAAGCCTAAAATCATATTTTTTAGTATTCCTGTTATTTTAATGGTTGATCCTATAAAACTAGATTTTAAACAATTTTTTACATCTACATGCATCGACAGAACACTGAAGAGAAAAATGGTGGTGAGTGGACAGCAGGTGGAGTCAAAGTCCAAGGAAGCATCAGGTCTGAAAGTGGGACCACAGTATTTTCTTCCCCTGTGTGGCCTCACGTGGTTTAAAATTAGAACACAAATTCTACTTTCCATCTGGAAGTGGGATTTTATGAGGTCAGTCTGAGGCTTTCTGAACCACACAAAGAACAGGTTATCATTCAATAAAGGTTTAAGGTAAATCAGTAAATACTAGTAAATAAAAAGTAAGAAAAACGAAATCAGTAAAAAAAAAACAACCATTGCCTGAATGCTTGACCTACCCGTTTTGAATTTAACACTGACGTTGCTTTAGAGATATTTTTGTGCCTCTGGTGTTAGAGAGTGCTAAAAAGGACTCCTAGTGATTTCACACACAACATATGAGAACAAGAAGTCATTGGCTGGTATTTCATGTGAAGTGTGTCATCTCTTCTCAGGAAACAACACGAAAAGCTCAAGGCCCCTTTCACTCTCATATTTAACAGTCATAACTGATAAAACTTAAAATTAACCTGTGACACCTAAAAGTAAGAGGGTTCCTGTTCATCTACATGCTGTTGTATGAAATTGTAACATTAAAATCTGAGCCTCAGTTATTGTAATGCATTTTAACCAGAATATGGAAGTTTCACCTTGAAGGGTTTTTCTGTTGGCTTTCTGCTCAGTAAACTGGAATACATCTTAGTTCAGTGGAAAGAGACAACAAGCAATCTTTGTCAGTCCTTTTCTATAGGGAAAATATTTCAGTAAACTTTTTTAAAAAAATGTAACAAATGAAACTTTCCTGTTTTGATGAAATATAAACTAAAAAACAAGTCCAATCCTATATTTATTAAGTATCTTAAAAAAGAAATGTTCAAAAGAAAGGAATTGAATTGCACTTTAACAACAAAATCAAACAGATTTTAGACAGTAAACAAAATAAATAAAAAATGTTTTTATAAATAAATTAGGACACCCTATTCCATTTAGCTGAAATAAATTAGCTCCTTCTAGTCATCTAACACTGTCTGAGGAAACTTGATCTCACTCCTCACTTTCAGCTATGAGATATTTGAGGGATTTCTTGCATTTTGAGGTGGTTTTAAGTTACCACACATCATCTCAATTAAATAGACCTTTTTCACGGCAACCGGAAGCTATACCTGAAAGGGCTGCGGCACTTCCTGTTTTGGTGACTCTAATTCAAGTACTCTGAAAATGGCTCTCCTCCTCCAGTCCTTTTCATCGCCCTTACTTAATTTGCCAGCCCTTTCTTTCGCTGATGCGGAGGAAATCGCATTTATTATGATTATGTCACTGATGTTTGTAGGTCCACTTCCAGATCCCGACATTCTGGCATCAGGAGAAAATCTACGCCAGCTTGGAGTCCCAACCACTTATCACTCTTGTCCTAGATGGTCTTTCAAATTTGGAGCAGGTTCCACCCAAATTTGGGCCTGTGACCCCACATCCGCTTTAAAAGCCGGAAGCGTGAGGGCTAGACTTTGACAAAGTCCAAATTTTAGTTTCGGTTTCTTTATGTCTCTTAATTCTCAACCTGATCTTAAGATATCATTGTTGTGTTACAGGATCCATTTCTGCTTTTACAAAACATTGTTATTTCTTTGTTATTATCAAGTGTCTTCCAATAAACAGTAGACCTGATAAGCTGACCAAGTTCTGTAGCAGTAAGCCATCCCCAAACCTTTACATTTCCAGATCCATGCTTCACAGCTGGCATGATGTTCTAAATTCTAGAGTTTATGCCAAATATATCCTCTGTTCTGGTGTCCAAATATTTTGAATCAATCCAGTAAAATGCTATATGAGAACTCCTGTTCTTTATCTGCATTCTCACAGATAAACTTGAGTCGAGCCTTTATATGTTTTTAGTGAGCGAAGGTTTCCTCCATACACATCTCCTTTTATAGTTATACTTGTGCAGAAAGCCAATGCACATGGCGAAATCTGAAGCAATGTTGTAGGCAGATAGTGCTGTTGCCCCCTTGTGGATGACAAATGACACACATGTGAGAAATATAACCTAAAACCAATGACTAAAAGTCAAAATAACTTTAGTACTATCTACGCTTATTATATAAATATAACAACAAAAACCTTTTGTCCTGTTTGTTTCAATATGATGCCACTTAAAATGCATAAAGCACAAGGGAGAAAAGTAGCCAACAAGCATCAAATTTCAATCTCATTTCAAGTCCATTGAAAAACTTTGTGGAAAATCTTTTACCATGGCTACAAAGAAGCATTGCATGTAAACAGTGAATGGGTTAAGTGAGTTTCATGGCCTATTTGATATAATGTGGTTATCTGACTCCAGTAAATAATGTCTTTGAACAGAAGGACACTGGAGTGATTTTGTTTTGATCACAGATTGCATAAATCATATTCCAAAAGAATCTTCTCCTGACAAAAGAAACAAGAATCAGAACCACAATTAATAAACACTAAATCCAATATAAAGTCTTTTGAAAATAATGTTTTTGTCACTGTGTTTTTTATTTGGTTGTTTGTTTGTGTTAGAAACAGGAAAATAACAGAACAAACTGAACTTCTTGAAGTACTTTATAATATTTTTTGCCAGAATTGGTTTGTACATTGAAATATTATTCCTAAAAAAAACCCGTCTGTGAATGTTTGGAGGTAACATTTGACACCCACAGCTGATATGATAGGCTGATGTTCAGCCTGCAGGGATAAAGTTCAGCTTGAACTCATCTTACATATTGACATGAGATGGGCCACAGAGCGGAGTCTGTTTCTGCTTAAGATCCTTTTCTTTTCTGCATCGGTCTCTCAAATGACTTTGTTGTTGAATTCGAGACACATATTAAAATTAAACAGGCACATCCCTGAGGAGCTAAAACATCTGCAGCTGTCATGCAAAATCGATGAGTCCCCAGCAGCATTAGAGTTTCATGTTCAACGGTCTGAATGTGTTTGATTGACAGCCAGCCCTTGGTGGCGTGAGGTCTTGAGAGGGGTGAAGTGGTGAGACAGAGTCTGATTTAAAGCCACCGATATGTCACATGGTCAGACTGAAAAAGAAAACACATCTTGAGAAATCTATCTATCTTCCTGTTTTCTGCCTAAAAACCACCTGCTGACTATTTCTTATTTATGCTGTTATCCTCCTGCTCTGAGCAATTTCTATCATTTTTTTTTTAAAGTACCAGCTTGAAAGAAATCTCAATAAAA